AAAAAAACACAATCCCATTCACAATAGCCAGAAAAAAAATCAAATACGTTGGCATCTTCCTAACCAGAGATGTAAAAGACTTTTACAATGAAAACTACAAAACACTGCTCAAAGAAATCAACGATGACATAAACAAATGGAAAAATATTGCATGCTCATGGATTGGAAAAATCAGCATTGTTAAGATGCTCATCCTACCCAAAGCAATCTACAGATTTAATGTAATACCCATTAAATTACCAGCAACATTCGTCTCAGAACTGGAAACGACAATACAGAAATTCATATGGAAACATAAATGACCACAGATCACCTAAACAATTCTCAGCAAAAAAAAAAAAAAAAAAAAGCAGGAGGTATCACACTCCCAGACTTTAAACTCTGTTATAAAGCTACAATAATCAAGACAGCCTGGTATTGGTACAAGAACAGGCATATGGACCAATGGAACAAGATAGAGATTCCAGAAGCAAAACCAACTCATCTTTGACAAAGCCTCCACCACCAATGACTGGGGAGAGGAGAACCTATTCAGTAAATGGTGCGAGAAAACTGGATGACCACATGCAGAAGATTAAAACAAGATCCCTACCTATCACATACACAAAAATCAACTCTAAATGGATCAAAGACCTAAATGGAAAACTTCGAATTATAAGAACCTTAGAAAATGAGGGAGACACCCTTTTGGAAATAGGAACTGGCAACCAATTCCTGATCAAAACCCCAAGTGCCCATGCCATAAGAGATAAGATAGACAAGTGGGACCTCATCAAACTGACAAGCTTCTGCGAAGTCGAAGAAACCATCAAGAGAGCAGGGAGACAGCCCACAGACTGGGAAAAAATATTTGCCAACTCTGTGTCTGACAAAGGTCTAACGCCTAGGATCTACAAAGAACTCAAACATGCTGAAAAAAAAAACCAGTCTCATTGCAAAGTAGGCAAAAGATATGAATAGACAGTTCTCAAAAGAAGACATATGAGCAGCCAACAGATACATGAAAAAATGCTCAGCCTCACTAGTCATTAAATAAATGCAAATTAAAACTACACTGAGATACCACCTAACTCCAGTCAGGATGGCCATCATCAATAACTCAAAAAACAACAGATGCTGGAGAGGACGCAGGGAAAAAAGAACACTTCTACACTGTTGGTGGGAATGTAATCTAGTACAGCCTTTTTGGAAACAGTGTGGCAATTCCTAAAAGACCTAAAAATCGACGTTTCATACGACCCCGCAATCCTCCTACTGGGACTATACTCTATAAAATAAAATCACTCTAGAAAAAAGATACCTGCACATGTATGTTTATTGCAGCATTGTTCACAGTAGCAAGAACATGGAACCAATAGTGCTGCCCATTAAAAGAGGACTGGATTTTTTAAAAATGTGGTAACATACACACAATGGAATATTATGCAGCCATAACAAAATCATGAACTTCACAGCAACCTGGATGGACTTAGAGTCTATAATACTGAGTGATCTTTCAGAAACAAAGAACTGAGTATCACATGTTCTCACTCATAAGTGGACCTTGAACAATTATCATAATACTATAGGAAAAGTATTGGTAGTAATGAGAAACTGCTGGGAGGAGGGCGGGGAAGGGAACTGGCAGTAGTGGGAGTCTGCCTGGGGAAAGGGGGGGACACCTCATCAACAAGGGTACCTGCATAATGAACATTTGTGTACCTAACTTTGTTTTGTATCCCACATCTTTAAAATAAAAAAATTAAAAGTTAAAAACAAAACAAAAACCAGACTTTCAAAAATGAATGAAGGTAGAAAAAATATCAACAAGAGAATAGAAGACTTAAAGAAAACTATAAAACATGTATAGTTTTCTCCAAACAACATCAAGATACACATTCTTATCAAGAACCTATATAATATTCTCCTACATAGAATGCATACTGGGCTATAATAAAATCCTATGTACAGTTTTTGAGATTTTGAAAATCTCAAAACAATAACCTAGACTTCCACCTTAAAAAGAAAGGAGCAACTTAAATCAAAGAAATCAGACAGAAGGAAATAGTAAAGATTAGAGTAGAAATAAATATAATAGAGATAGAATATCAGTGAATCTAAGAATTGATTCCTTAAAAATATTAAAAAATAAAACTGACAAAACTTTAGCTAGACTGACTTTAAGGATGAAGACTGAAATTACTAAAATCAGGAATAAAAGAGGGAACATTAGCCCCAACTCTAGAGATGGAAAAATAAAATGATTATAAGGTAATACTATGAACAACTGCATTATAATAAGACAAAATAGGTGAAATAGACAAATTCCAAGAAAGACACAAATTTCCAAAATTGACATAATAGGAAGTAGAAAAACAAGTAACACCACTGAAAATGACAAGTATGGAACGCCAAGACCCCATAAAGAGCAATTAGTGAGCTACTGTGAGAATCAACTTTCTCAGAACTCTGGAATCTAGTCAAAAAAGTATAGCAACCAGAGGGGAAGGTGGTAAAGAAAAAAGCTGCTGCTTTGTGGTCATAAATTTTAAATTGCCTGCCTACCACCCACCATGGCAGTGATCTGTCAAGAAGCCCGCTATCCTGATTTAGATTGCTAGTATCAGAGAAAAAAAATAAATTTTATTCTCATGGAATTGTGGATCTTGGCCTACTTGAGAACTCCCTGAAAGACCAAAACAAAGGTTCCATTTTATTACATCAGACTGGGAGCACTCCCATGGCTTGGGCTGGGTTGGTTTCCCAGTTGGCTTTTTGCCCAAAGCATTTACAGTTACAGGCATTGGCCATAGAAGTCTAAAGCAAAGAATAGCATCCAGGACAAGCAATGAGCAGACTGAGAAGCCTGAGAAGGAAAAGTTGGGGAAATAAGATATGTAGAAGAACAACCATTTAAAAAAACTTTCACATATAGTGAAAAACCAAGAAGCCAGTGTATATGTCCAGTGTGGGAAACAAACTCAGAAGACACCAGGGAAAACTTATGCATTCACCATGGACTGAGCTTCAGGCTCTGCACAAACAGAAACAAAAGCATTTTTAAAAAGTACTGCAACTCAGAGCTCATCTGCAAGGACTTAGAAAGTGTTTTTTCTTTCTTTTTTTTTTTCCTTTGTTGACTTTAGGCATTTAAAGCAACTCCATCCAAACTCAAGTTGCTCAGTAGGCTAATAAAAGATAGACTTTAGTGGCTACACATGACAAAGAATACAAAATTTACAAAAATAGTTTAGAGAATCACTAAACAAGTAAAAAATAACCCACAACAGAGAACAAAATCAAAACCTAACAGAGAGGAAATCAGATTTTAGATTACACCATCAAGTGTACTAGAATCTGATTTCCATGGTAAACACATTATAATATAACTGTACAGATTCTAACAAAATTTTGTGAGGCATATAGAGAAACAAGACAGTATAGCATATTCACAGGAAAGAAATATATTATTAGAAACTGCCTAATCCATGTTTTAGACTAACTAGACAAAGATTTTTAATCAACTATCATATATGCTAAAAGAGCTAAAAGAAATCATAGAAAAAAAAAAACTAAAGGGAAAAAGAAAACTCTCTCACCAAAGGTAGAGTATCAGTAGACAGGAACAAAAACAGATATAAAAATTGTAAAACAAATAAAAATTTTGGAGTTGAAAAGTACAATATCTAAAATTAAAAAACCACTAACAGGGTACAATAGTAGATCTGAGCAGACAGAAGCAAAAAACAGGGAACTTAAAATAGGTCAATTGAGGTTACAAATTCTGAGGAACAGAAAATAAAAAGAACATGGAAAAAGTCTAAGAGACCTGGGGGACACCATCAAGTGTACTAAAATATGTATAATGGGAGTTTAACAGGAAGAAGAGAAATGGAAAGGGGCAGAAAGATTTTTTTTTAATGGTGGCTAAAAATTACTCAAACTTGATGAAAGACACTAATATATGTGTTCAATAAGTTCCACACTCTACAAACAGAATAATCACAAAGAGATTCTAATCAAAACATAACAATCTTGTCAAAATAGAAATATATGATACTACACTTTAATAATGATAATATTGGCAATTTTTTTTTTATTTGGGTTGGGTGGTAATTTCACAACTGTGAAAGAGAAAAAGAATGGAAAGGAAGTTATCAGAAGAGTAGGAAAGGAAAGAATAGGTGAGGACCAGAAAGAGAAGCAAGCAAGATTCAGTGATAAGAGTGTGTGTGAACAAAGAATTATTATCTGTACATCTGAGGTTCGTATTAAAAATGTTTCAAAGATTTTTTTTCTAGCTGTATGACATTCTCCCTCTACGAAAACAGGTGAAATGTTGAAGTGTAAGTCTGTAGTATGGAAAGAGATCAACAGAGATGGCGAGAAGGCAGTTGGTGTAATCGGTTTGAGTAAACGGACTTTGAGGTTCCTCAGGGACACTGGGCCAGTGATGCCCAGTAGACAGATGGCAAAGCTGATCTGAGATATGGAGTAGGGAACAACCTGCAGATGTAGACGTGGGAGTCGTCGTCGGCGTTTACTGGGAAGTGAACAAGATCACCCAGGGAGAGAGAACATGTGGACTGAGGAGAGAAGAAGACCAGGACAGAACCTCAGAAACACCACCACTCAGGGTGACAAGTCAGCTTGTCACCACCACCCGGACTCTAGAGTCAGGCAGAGCCGGTCTTGAAAGCGGGTTGTGGGGTTCAGGTGCTGAGCGCTCTTGACAAGGTTGGGTACCCTCTCTGATGAGCTGTCACACCTGGCGACGATGGGCATCTGAGAGCAATGCTGGTAGATGAGCCAGGTGAAGCACCCGGGGTCAGGGAGCCACTCTCCCCTCCTCTTCTCCGTGACGCGTCTGCCCACAAAGCCCCTCCCCTCGTCCCCCTTGTTACACATCCACCCTTTCACCTTCCACACTAGGTTTCTCTAGGATAGGGAGGTGAGGTGGGCGGGGCGAGGGTGGCCGAGCTATGGTGACGCGAGGCTCACGTGACGCGCAAGGCGCAGACGTGGGCACCAGTCCCCTCACCAGCCAGCCCGCCTGCCTGCCCGCCCTGTGGTCCGGTCTCGGCGCCCAAGCGGAACCAGCTCCCTGCTCTGCCCCGGCTGCAGGCAAACGGCGAACAGGCTTGCGCGAGCCCAAAGAGGCGCAGGCCAGCTCTGGTTCCCCTCAGGTCAGTGTGAGGGCAGGCGCTGACGGTGGACCCGGCCAGGGGTGGCGGTTGTCGGTAGTGGGATCTGAGGCAGTGGGTGGGGGGCTGATGGGGGAAGGGATGCGAGAGGTTGGTGAAGAGGGGGACTCGGAGCGGGCCGAGCGGAGAAACAGGAAAGCAGGACCCCCAAGGGTCCGGCCCGCCTTTTCGACTCCCCTCGTCTCTGAGACCTCCAACCATTTGTATTGTGGCAATAACCCCCTTTACCATTTGCGCCTTTGCATTCATTGACCTCCAGAAAAAGGGGGTGGGGCGGGGCAGAGATTCAAACGCAGTTTAAAAAGCATCATGGTCTGGCGCCCAAGGCCTGGAAATAAATGGCAGCTGGGGTGCGGGGGAGGTCCGGAAGGAAAACGCTGGGGGAGGAGGGCCCCAATTCAGAAAAGGGACCTGCCCCTGCCCCTTCTGTCTGTCCGCAGGTCTGCGTGACTGTTGTTCCCAGCACTCTTGGAGGCCTGGAAAGCAGGAGCAACCTGTCCAGAATCCCCACAGGTCCGTGAAAAGGGGGGGGGGGGGTGCGGCATGCACAGGTACCCAGTATGGTTGAGAGTGTGGAGGGCACGGCCTGGGCAGAATTTGGGGCCCTACTGCCCGTTCCCCCACCACATGCACTCAGGCTTTTCCAGACTGGAGAATGTAGAGAAGGTGGCAGGCTTACCAGGGAATGGTTGGCTCAGGTGTGTGGGAGGAGTGGTGGACTACTTCGTGGGTAGAAGGCACACTGGGGCGCCTGGCCAGGTAAGGGGAACCCTGACCAGGGACGAGTTGCAAGTGCTATCCTGACCTGCATTTTACCACAGGCCCTCAGTCTGCCATGTCTCCTCTTCTCCTCTCTAATCCGCACCCTGTCTCCCCAGGACAGGAAAAGAGGAAATCTCAACATGGAAAAACTCTACAATGAAAATGAAGGAATGCCTTCCAACCAAGGAAAGATGGGAGATGAAGAACCGCCACAGGATGAGGGAAAGTCAGAAATAGCTTGTTCTCTGGAAGAAAAGGAGAAATTAGAAAAGGAGAGGAAGACAGAAAACAAGGGAAAGACAGAAGATGAGGAAATGTTAAAGGATAAGGAAAAGTCAGCTAGTGAGGAAAAGGCAAAAGAAGAAGGAAAGCTGGAGAGTGAGAAAAAGCCAGAGAGTGAGGGGAAGTCAGAGAGGAAGGGAGAACCAGAGAGTGAGGGAGAACCAGAGAGTGAATCAAGGGCTGCAGGAAAGCGCTCAGCTGAGGATGATGTACCCAGGAAAGCCAAAAGAAAAACCAATAAGGGGCTGGCTTATTACCTCAAAGAATATAAAGAGGCCATACACGATATGAATTTCAGTAATGAGGATATGATAAGAGAATTTGACAACATGGCTAAGGTGGAAGATAAGAGGAGAAAAAGCAAACAGAAGTTGGGGGCATTTTTGTGGATGCAAAGGAATTTACAGGACCCCTTCTACCCCAGAGGCCCAAGGGAATTCAGGGGTGGCTGCAGGGCTCCACGAAGGGACACTGAAGACATTCCTTATGTATAGTTTCCCTGGTAAGCATTTTCCAGGCCCTGGGTTTCAGCCTTATGCTAATACTTTGCTTTAAGCATTTCTCCTCTTACCAGCAGCCTTTTGACTCAACTGCAGTGCTTGTTCCATGCTTCAGTAGATGCTTTTCACCCGTGTGCATTACAAAGACATTATGATTCTTGGAAAAATAAAGCAACTTATAATATCATCTACAGAATCTGTCTGTTTTTGTTAAAGGCATAACTTTATATAACACATTTATGTACATGAAAATTGGAAAGTTTTGTTCACAGAAAGATTAACAGTGGTTTTCTGAATTGTGAGATAATAGTGGGTGATTTCATTTATTTGTTTTCTTTCTTTCTACTCATCTATTTTTTTCCTATAGAGCACAAACTACTTTTCTCACACAAAAATAACATTTTTAAAATCTGAAAACAGTTTGTAAAAAACACGGAGAATAACTTCACTGAGCTTATGAAGGCAGTGGAGACACTTATAATTCTAATTGTCAGAATTTGCAATGATACCTAAAACTCACATTACCTGTGGGACTCATCTGGAGGAATCAACCTGTGATTATTGTAAATCTATTGCTCAAAAGGACAGTCTTATCATCTGTCAAATGGAGGTGCTTGCTTTTCTAAACTGAGTGGATTAGATGAGGTACAGATTATGTGAGGTGTGTTGGGTTGGCATCTACCTTCTCCCTTGCACTAGCAGAAACAAGACTCCATCAGAAACCTGAAAGAGACCTGGAGTACACCTCACCTGTAACCAGGAATAAGTCCAAAAAGCTAAAAGGTAGGTACCATCCTCTCCTGGGTAATGTCATGTCTGCTGGACATTGTACCCCTTCTCATACGTCCTGCACCCTCCTAAGGCTCCCACTGCTGCTGATGGGCTGGAGTCTTTAAAGTGACAAAGTTTAGTTGATTTTACTGGAGTCCCCAGTGAGCCAAGCCTATCCACCCTACCCTAACACAACTAGAGAATTGTGAATAATTTCCTTTTCTTCACTTTACAGTTATATTTATTCAGTAAGATAACACCTCAGTGATGCTTCTGCCCCTGGTGGATTTCAAGTTTTTTTGTTTTTTTGTTAGTTTGTTTTTTGAGTCGGAGTCTCACTCCATCGCCCAGACTGGAATGCAGTGGCACGCTCCCCGCCACCGCAGCCTTGACCTGCTGGGCTCCAGCGATCCTTCCGCCTCAGCCTTCCAAGTAGCTGGAACTCCAGGCACACGCTACTACGCCCAGCTAATTTTTTTGATTTATTGTAGAGATGAGGTCTCGCCAAGTTGCCCAGGTGGGTCTCGAACCCGCGGGCTCAGGCAATTCATTCACCTCAGTCTCCCAAAGCGCAGGATTACAGGCTGAGCCACCGAGCCTGGTTGGATTTCAAGTTTTTAACCAAACAATTATTTATGTGCTTGTTGGTTTATAATTTGTTGTTGTTTTATTTAAATACAGCCATCTCTTCATCAGGTTCAGATATTAGAGGCTGGGATAAAATTCGAGTGGCACATACTGCTGTTCTCATCCATCAGTGCCTTGTCTGCTTAATTCCTCTTTCCTTAGAGGAAATCATCTTCTAGATATTTCCTGCCAGGTCCCACCCTATTAGTTTAACACACCTACCTACATTTATGATGTTTAGAGCATTGCTGCTCAAATAGTGGTCCATGAATCTTCATCTTCATCACCTGAAAGATAGAAATGCAGAATCTCATGTCCTCACCCCAGACCTACTGAATCAGAATCTTTTTTCTGTGTTTGAGAGGTACAGGTTTATAAGAAGAATCTTCCACTTCCACGTTCTTATGAAATATATACCTAGAAAGGCATAGGATATACAGGATAGATTATTAAATAGACCTGTGTTTGTCAAACTGAAGTTTCACCTCCCTACATTAATAGAGCTTAAAACAAATTCAATGGGTCAAGACCTGCAATATTTTTAATGAAATGTGATAGAATTGATCAGAATCAGATAGTTAATATCAGATTGTATTGCAGGTAAGTAGGATAAGTATTGTTTTGTGAAATTTTGTTTTTTAGCTATGCATATATGAACAATGAATTTCTGGCCATGGGCTGCAGTTTTTAAAACTGAGAAATGTTGAATTCTGCTTCCCAGAGGGTAATCTTATTTATCCTGGCATCTTTAATACCTAGCACAGTGCCTGGCAAGTAATATGTTCTTAATAAATTTGAAAATAGTAATAGTTAAATCAAGAGTTCTTGTCCCAGGTCATTCCCTGTCTACATACATAACTATGGACTATACTTTTCCAGCAGCATTGACATGCAGTTCCAAAAGGAACACTGTGGAGAAGGGTTTGTACCACCAATTTAACCTTACCTCATTTTGTAAATGCATTTTTAAAGGAGGCTAGTTTGCCACATGTCAGAATCACAAGAGAACTTTGTTAAAAATGTAAACTTCTGACCCTCACTTCAGATTCACAGAGTGGAGCTCTAGAATCTCCATTTTTTTTTTTTTGAGTTGGAGTCTCACTCTGTCACCCAGACTGGAGTGCAGTGGCCGCTCCCGGCCACCGCAGCCTCGCCTGCTGGGCTCTGGCGGTCCTTCCGCCTCAGCCTTCCAAGTAGCCGGAATTACAGGCATGCGCTACCATGCCCGGCTGATTTTTTGATTTATTGTAGCGATGAGGTCTCGCTGCCCAGGCGGGTCCCGAACCCACGGGCTCAGGCAATCCACTCACCTCAGCCTCCCAAAGGTGCGGGATTACAGGCTGAGCCACCGAGCTGGTTTAGAATCTCCATTTTTAACAGGCTCCCTAGGTGATTCTGATTCACACTAAAGGCTAATCGCCACTAATTTGCATATTCATTATGATCTCAGTCATATTAAGTGTATAAGTAGAAGAAAAGAGTTGCAGTGTCTCTTTTTTTTGGCGGGAATGCTGGGAGGGCCGGAAACGAAGGCCTTTCTAAGTTATGAAACTAAGGTTGGGAGTAAAATGTCATAAATACATTGTTTAATATGTCTACTGAAACTGTCTTTAAAACCATCATGCCTATAAACAAAGGCAAAGGCATGATATCTCATAGTATAGTGTATTTCCTCCTCCAGATGCCATGATAACTGTGGCAGCTAAACAGTTCTGTTGATAAAGAAGACTTGCGGGACCCCAAATAGCAATGATTGCCAATCTACAGCTTATTACAGAAAAATGAATCCAACATAGCAACAATATTAGGGATATACACCATAGCCAAAGCTGTCTCATAGCAAGGGATCTGAAGTGACCAGATATGAGCTCTGTTATCTTCTCTCTGTATAATATCCGTGGCAAGATGTAATTTTTCTTTCTAATCGGGAACCACACTAATTATGCATAAAGCACCTAGAAACCAGAGAGCACAGAATGGAGTCATGGTCCAGGTTGCTGGTACACTGCTGGTTATGTAGGTATATTCTTGCTACCTAGCCTGCCTCAACAGCAGAATGCTTGCCAGGGAGATTCACCAAGACCAGATGTAAATGATCATTCTGACTGTTATCGATAAAATTGACAAGTTGGTATAAATCATTCAAAAATTCCTCAGACCCATGATTACAAAACAACACTTCTAATCAGTATGTTTTATGATCAGTGCCATGTAGGCACATTTCTTATTTCAGTAGAACAGCTCAGGCAAATCTCAGTCCTGCTGGAGTTGACCCTTGCAAAACAATATACGTTTTGCCCTCCTCCATACACTATTATTAATAAAGCTGCAGGCACACTTTTCAGGGAGTACTACTAGTATGACCCTGATCCATTTGCTGGATGTCACCCCATATTTCCATCTCAATTTCCTGCTTCTCTACCCTGCTCTGTGTTCCAAAGGAGTCTAATCTGTATGGACCACATCAAAAGACTCTTGTTCTCTGGGAGCTAGAAGTGGGGAATGTCAGGGCATTTTTCTCCCAGCTTGTTTACTTTGATGTCATCAGATGCTGGTGGAATCCCTTCTTTTAAGGTTCCTATGAAGGTGGCCCTCTCCACATAGGCTCTGTGTCTCCAACTTTTAGTAACTCGTCTTTCTTTTTGCCTCTTAGGCCTGCTGCTGTCGATCCCACCTTTACTTGCCATGGTGTAGTGCACTATCCCTTATGTTTCTTCCAATACCCATCTCATACCTTTGTTAAAAATACTCCACAAATTTTCCAATGCCAATATACCCCTGTTTCTTGCAGTGCTCTTCTCAGGTACAGTAATAGATACAGGAAGTTACTCCAGGAATTGGATTGCTTATTAATTTGAGGAGGGAAAGAATAACCTCCTGACAATATGAGTCAGGAGAGTTGGGAACAGGTGTTAAGAGAGGTTCTCAGGTACACAGCATGTAGTAGTATCATGATTATTCAAACAGCACTGCTGGCATGAAATGAAGTACAAGTGGAATCCAAAACTTTAGGAAATCAAGTGGTTGTGTCATGCACTGAGGCAAAGGTAATTATCAAAAAAAAACTTGGAGTCATCTGTGTTCATCTGCTGACTCAAAAGAGTATGCATAGGAAAAAATGGGACGTTGGAGACTACACACTTGTAGAGCACCAGAAAGCTTCCATGGTTTGAAGGAGTCCCTCATCTTAAGGTACATATAGCTGAGAACCAAGCCTAGGTCCTCATGGTATTGTAGTTCTACTGCAGATTAAATGCTCCACTTTCAGTGACTTTTAAAATAAATTAATGACACTAGTAAGGAGGAGGTGGAACCCTGGTATATGGGATAGGGGCATTTGTGCAGACATGCTCCAAGGTATTAAGAAATGCATTGGTGAGCGGGTCACCAGCAACTTTGAAGATTTCTGTGGGCTTGTGTTCAGTAGGCTGGAGATTATGGTCAAGAATGCTGCAGTGGAATTGGGCTACCTCATCTTAATGTGAATTATGGGATCCTAGAATGCTGGATGTCAGGAGATAAGACTAGTTTTCCGAGACAAGGTGAGTGCAACTACCACAATAAGCCACAGGAATGAAATGGTAATTAGAGGACCCTAGACCCACAGGGATCTGTGGTGGTACCTAATCCGAGCATTTTTAAAAATGAAATAATTAGCCGGGTGCAGTGGTTCACACCTGTAACCCCAGCACTGTGGGAGGCTCAGGCAAGAGGATTGCCTGAGTTCAGGGGTTTGTGGCCAGCCTGGGCAACTTGGAGAGACCTGTTCTCTACAATAAATCAAAATTA